GTTGGGGGCGGTTGCGCGTAGGTGATGCGAAATGACGTAGTTGAAATTTGTGAGCCTCGCGTCTGGCTTTGCCGGCAGTGATGCAGTTGGCCTCGTAGACCGCTGAGCCTGTCTTCACTGACCTCCTCCAGGTCGATCGGTATCAAACGAGGTCTACCCAGTTGGCCTGGTTAATCTGCAGACGCTTCAGAGAAGTCTTCAAAGTGTCCTTGTAGCGCCGGACTCAGCCCCATTGTCGGCGGGAGCCCGTAGTGATATCTGCATAGTAGAGCAGTGTGGGTTGCCGCTCGTTGTCCATCTGCACGAGGTGGCCGCTCCAGCGCAGTTGCAGCTGCCTCAGCATGTCATAGATGCTGAGGATTCCCGCCCTCTTCAGTACATCCGTTTCTGGGATCCGGTCCTGCCACTTCAGCTTCAATATCTGTCGGAGGCAGTTGCGGTGGACGTGGTTAAGCCTCCGTGCCTGCTTCTTGTTTACTGTTCAGGTTTCATCTCCATACAGCAGCGACGGCAGGATGACCGCTTTTTTACATCTCCAGTTTGGTGCTAAGGTGGAGACCGCCTCGATTCCAAACTGCGTTTTGCAAACGGCCGAAGGTTAGGTTGGCTTTGGAAATCCGACGAGGCACTTCATTGTCGATTTTGGTGTTTTGGGAGTGGGTGCTTCTCAGGTAGGTGAAATTGTCCACGGCCATTCAGAGGTGGCGTTGAGAGCGCAGTCATCGACGAAGAGGAGTTCATGGACAGAATTTGCGGACACAAGCGTTTGGAAGTGTATCCGCCGCTGATTGAGAAGGTGGCCGTCCGTCCCGTAGGCAACGCGGATTCCCGGGCGTTCATCACGGTAAGCGCCCATTAGCATGGCAGAAAACATGAGATTGAAGAGGGTAGTCTCGAGGACGCAACCCTGCTTCACTCCGTTGGTCACTGCAAATGCCCTTGATACGACTCCATTGTCCGTGGCGCGCGCCGTCATGTCATCGTGGAGCTGACGCACCATCTGAATG